CCCAGCCTCTGTGGGGAGTTCAGAAATGGCTACTGACTTTGTCCATTATTCACCCTGGGATCATGCACAAAATGTACATGCTCCGACTCCATGAACTGCAGCCCACCAGGCCCCTCTGTCCATGGGATTTTCCAGGCAAGAATACTGGAGTGGGTTGCCATTTCCTCCCCCAGGGATCTTCCCAAAACAGGGATCAAATCTGTGTCTCTGTGTCTCCTGCATTGACAGGCAAATTCTTTACCACTGAGCCACCTGGGAAGCCCTCCGTGTGTAAAACATCTGCTACTAAATCCACTCTTGAGGGAATTCCCTGGCAGTTCAGGGGTTAGAACTCTGCACTTTCACTGCTGAGGACACAAGTTCAATCCTGGTCAGAGAACTAAGATCCCAAAAGCCTCTGGATATGGCCAAAAACAAACCAACCCACACTTGAAAGGAATTCCTCTTGGGTCTCAGCATCAGGAAGAAATGCACATCTCCAGGGCTCCAGCCTGGTTCTGGCTGGGAGCAGAGTGGAAGGCAGGCTGCCAGGTTCAGGCCTGCCCACTGCCTGGGAGCCCGGGGTTCAGTGACTGTGCAAAGAGGCATCAAGCCAGCCAGGGGGGTCTAGAATGGAGGGCACATGTGTCAAAGGTATGAATATACCAAACCTACTCATGCTTTGTGGATTCTGACTCTTCATTAATCTTAACTCCTTTTGGGGCTCCTTCTCAGACCTCATCTCCCTCAGGACCTCACCAGAGGCCCAAGGCAAAGTGTGATACCCTGGAGTATCCAGACTTCCCTCCCCGAATCCTGCTACTCTTCCAGAAAACAGCCTGCCAAAGGCAAGAGGCTGTATTTCAGAGGCGCAGGTGTCCGATGCAGTAATGACACCTGCATCTTTGACCTTGAACTCTCCTGTAAATCTGCCCCTGGCTCAATGATACCCTCAGGAGTTAGAATGAAACGAACGACCCCTCAGTCCTGCCTCCTTGGAAGACGCTTGGTCTTCCCAGATGGCGCAGTGGTAAGAACCTGGCATGCTGTAGTCCATGGGGTCGCTAAGAGCCGGACAGGACTGAGCAACGGAACAACAAAGCCCTGCTCATACTCTAATCTTGTCAGAGACCTCACCTGTGAACCATATGTTATAAATCCCATCATTAAATTCTCCCAGGTTGGAGCACATAGTTTTTAGAGTCAGAATCCCAGTGTGTCCCCCTTTGTCTGGTAAAGTAATAAAGCTCTCCTTTTCTATTCCACCCAAAACTCTGTCTCTGAGATTTGATTTAGCACCATTGTAGAGAGGCTGAACTTTTGGTAATGGAGCCTGGAGCCTGGAGCTGAGGGAGGCAGGGGGGAAGGGAGATGTGGAGCTGGAAGGGCTGGTTCAGGCCAGGCCATAGGAAACCCATCAACGTCAAGTTTTCGAACTTGATCTTGAGGGCAATGCGGAGCCTTGAAAAGTTTCAGTGAGGGGCTTCCCTGGTGGCTCAGTGGTAAAGAATCCACCTGCCAATGCTGGAGACGTAGGTTCAATCCTTGGGCCAGGAAGATCCTTCACGCTGCGGAGCGACTAAGCCCATGCGCCACAATCACTGAACCGGGCCTCTCAGGCCTGTGTGCCCCAACTACTGAAGCCCGACTGTCCTAGAGCCTGTGCTCCACACCAAGAGAAGCCACAGCAATGAGAAGCCTTCACACCTCAACTAGAGAGTAGCCCCCTGCTCACCACAACTAGAGAAAAGCCTGCACAGCAATGAAGACCCAGCACAGCCATAAACAGATAGAAACCAATTCCACTTATGTAACATAAAAAAAGATGTAAATACTTAAAAAAAAACTTTCAGTGAAAGGCACGGTTCTTCACTTCTGTCTTCCTCTTCCAAACCCATAACCCAAATCGAATCATAGGGGAAATTTCAGACAAGTCCAAATTTTAGGAATTTGATAAAAAAACCACACCAGCACTCCTCAAACCAGTCAAGGTCAGTGAAAACAAGTGGGAGGAGTAGTCAGAACAGAGAAAGCTAAGGAGTGACAGCTAAATGTACCACGGTGTTCCAGACAGGATTCTGAAACAACAGGCATGTTATGGAAAGTTAGTAAAACATAAATAAAAGTTTAATCCATCCACACAATGTAGTAACAGAGTAATCCATCCATACACTGGAATGTTACCCAACAATAAAGAAGAATAAAGTACTATTACACGTTACACGGATGAATCTTAAAAACATGCCAAGTACAAGAAGCAGACATAGAAAACACACTAGACCACATATGGGATGATTCCATTTGTGTGAAATGCCCAGTAACAGGCAAATCTCCAGCAACAGGAAGTAGGTTAGAGGTTGGCAGGGGCTGGAGGGTAAGTGGGGATGGGGAGAAATGGGGGAGGAACTACTGCTGGGTGGGGTTTTAGACAAAATTCTAAAATGAGGTTGTAACAATGCTTTTGCAACCCTGTGAATGTACTAAAAACAATAGTACTTTAAGTGGGTGGATTCTAACGAAATAAAGCTTTTTAAAAATAGTAATGTCAAAAACAAAAACAAAAAAAAGTAAAAAAATAAAAATAGTAACAACATTGGTTCATGGGTTAACAAATGTGCCACTGAAAGATGTTAACAATAGAGGAAACTGGGTGAATGCTCTGTACTATTTTTGTAAATCTACAAAGCAACTGTAAGATACAAAAAGCTTATTTATATAAAAATTATATAGTGATTTCCCTGTCCCTTCAGTGGTTAAGAATCTGTCTGCTAATGCAGGGGACAATGCAGGTTTGACTCCTAGTTTGGGAAGATTCCACATGCTTCAGGGCAATGAAGCCCTTGTGCCACAACTTCTGAGCCTGTGCTCTGGAGTCCACGAAACACAACCCCTGAAGCCTGAGCGCCCTGGAGCCCGTGCTCTGCAACAAGAGAAGCCTGTGCACCATAACGAAGAGTAGCCCCCACCCACTGAAAGCAGAGAGAGCATGTACACAACAATGAAGAGAGAGTGCAGCCAAAAATAAATAAATAAAAATTAAAACAAAACAAAGACTGCACTTCCAATGCAGTGAACATGAGTTCAATCCCCAGTCAGGGAACTAAGGTGCTACAGGCTGTGTGGGGTATGGCAAAAAAATATTATACATATACTCACATATAAAAATTATATATATGTATATACACACACACATATATACACACACAGTTTGTTTGGTTTAAGGCAAGGGAGTTAAGTGTTGATAGGGGCTTGAAATAGGGACATGGCCAATGAAGAACTGAGTGAGGTTTAAGATGGGGAGAGGCACTCAGCTGGATGGAGTGCTAGTTTACTGTTGAGGCTGTTAACACATGATCTCAAACTTAACACAGCACAATTTTATTAGTTCTAGCAGTGGTCAAAAGTCCCAAATGGTTTCACTGGGCCAAAACCACGGTGGAGCTGCGTTTCTTTGTTCCAGCATCTACAGGTACCTGCATTCCTTGGTATCTGGCCCCATCTTGCAACTGCAAAGCCAGGAGCAGGTGTTAATATCTTCACCTCCCACTCACTTTGACCCTCCTCAGTCCCATTCACTTAATAGGACCCATGTGAACATACTGGGCCAGCTCACTAATCCAAGACACATCTATCATTAACGTGATCATGTTTGCAAGCTCCCTTTTGCCAGATAGCCATACATTTACAACTTCTGAGGCTTAGGATGTGGCCATTTTGGGGGGCCATTAATCTGCCCACACCTGTTGTCCTCAGGGATGTAAACACAGAAGAGATGTGTCCTCAGCTTTGGATGGAGCCTGGGATGCCTGCAGGACATCTGGGGGAACTTCCCCTTGGCTTCCACCTATTCACCAAACACTCCGCACTTCCCATGAGTCAGTCACCAGGGATATAAATGTGAATACTGTATTTCATTGGTCCTAAGATATCTGTTTTTTCACTTTGGAACATATCTGAAATCAGGATGCAGCTTTGAATCAATATCTTACAACTGCAATGGGCAGGGTTTTCTTTCGAACACATGAAGACATCTTAAAACTGAAGGTATCTTGAAGTCAATGAAATCCAGGTCTGGACAGAGCACTAGAGTGGGCCCCACTGCTATGACATTAGTTATTATAGAAGGTAGCTGCCTCACTAGAGAATCAAGTATCCCCACCCAGCCCCTCCACCCGTTCCTGGTTCTGGGCCTGCCTCCTTCCGCCCCAGGACGCCCAGTGCCCCGTGGCTCTGCTGCTCAACTCTTGGCTAACTGACTCCACCAGATCCACGGCCACACCCACGTTCAGCTCTAACACATGAACTGGTCCATGAACCGGCCCCTCTCCCCTGGTGTAACCTCGACTTGGGCCCTGTGGTTTTCCCCCTGGATGCACATGGGAAACACCTGGGAGTTTTTAAAAGACCCAGGCCATCCCTAGACCAAATCATTCATAATGTCTGAGGAGTGATGTTCCCCATAGATTCCAACAGCCAGCCAGGTGGAGAACTAACTGGTGTGAGTGAGGAGAAGCATGAGACAGCACTGGCGGGAGGTGGAAGGTGTTAGGTCCACACTACACAATGACACCTATCAGTCTTCCTCCCAATCCTCCCCAGACCCACTCTGAATGGAGAGGACCAGCCCAGTTCTCGCAGTTTCCTAAAATAACTAAACTGAGTCAGACATATTGTAGGAGCCCAGGAAATGTAAGCTGCAGAGACTCCAAGGCCAGTCAGAAAGGCCTGGTGCCAAGAAAGGCCTTTGAAGGGAGTCCACTGGGTTGGGGACAGTCCTCTGATTAGCTGTGTAACCTCCAGTGAGACACTGCCCATCTCTGGGCCTGTGTAGACTGGCTCAGGTGGCCTTGAAAAGTCCTTTAGGTGCCAACACTGAGTCTAGACTTTACCTCAGGGGCCATTTCTATATGCTTCTAAGAAGCCTGAGACAGTGGGGAGCGAGCCAGTAGGCATCAGCCTTCCTGCTCACTCCCAACAGATGTCCCAGCCCATCCAAGCCTCAAGTCTCCACTTCTGGGGCTCTATCCTATATTGGTTACAAGGCAGAACATCTTAGGTCCTAGAAGCCAAAGACCTAAGAACAGCAAAACAGGAACCCCCAGGGGACTCTGGAAAACAGCATGTGAGTAGAGAGATTTTTCAGTTGAGAACAAAGTCCGGACTGGGAGGCCACAGCACACCTGACAGGCCCGGCTCTGCCCCAAGGAATGGGAAACAAAGGTGAGGTGGTTCGAGGGTCCAGAGAGAAACTCCCAAGGAGGAACTTCATGAGAGGAAACATTAAGGGCAAGAACAAGTCCAAAGGGACCTGGAAGAGGTTCCCGGCTCCACCTTCTGGCCATCAGCACAGCCAAGGTCCCTAATACACAACTAAAGGCTTTTATTGGGAAAAGGAAGTTGACTGAAAAGTGGCCCCCAACATCTTCACTGCCTGAGGCAGCTGGGGCCTCCTCCACAGAGTCCAGGCAAGAAGGGACCAGCAAACTGGGCCCTCAGGAGGCTCAGGTGTAGAGGTCAAAGTCAATCCGTTTGGAGTTGTAGAACTGGCCACCCGGGGGGTCCAGCTTCCGGCAATAAACACCATCTGGGAAGTAGCCTTCGTTCACCCAGGTCTGCAGGAAAAAAGGGCAGAGCTGGGAGAGAACTGATGGGGTGGGGGGAGGGAGAGAAGAGGCACAGCAAAGTAGAGAGGAGCTTACCTGCATCTGGGTGCTGGTGAAGGGCCCGTACAGCTCAGCATCCCCTGTGTTCTCCCACTTATATTCCCACATCACGTCCGCCAGACCATCTCTGGGTGACTCTGCTTCTAAAGTAACAGGCCAAGTCATTTGGGCCTCCAGTGGCCTGCCCCCTGCCCACAATCCCCCTCTCCTCTGCCCTTCAATCTTACCTTCCCTCTGGGCAGGGGTTGGGACCTCCAGCTCCCCTTCCGCCACTTCCTCAGCAAACATGTCCAGGGAGGGGGGCGGTGTGGGGTCACGGGGTCCCTGGGTCTGGCACCCCAACCCCTTCAGTCGCATGGCCAACCGTTCCCTCGTCTCCTGATACACTCCCAGGTTGCCCTGGGCCACCATCTGGTCAGCCAACCCGGAGAGCCGGTCGAGGCGCTGGGGGGAGCTAGGCCGTCCGGGCCCCTTGCTGCCCTCTTTGCCTCCCCCTCGGGCTCCCAGACGCCTCAGTGCCCCAGCTACTGTCTCTCTTGGCAACATTAGTTCCAGAAGGCCCTCCAGGAGGGCTTGGGTGCTCATTGGCGTCTGGCCCAGGCTGTCCTCCTCCTCTGAGTCTGACGATGGCCGCTGATCAGGTGGCCGCTCCCTGATCTTTACCTGCAATGGGAAAACAGGAAGGTTTTATTTTTGAAAAACTGCCAGCAAGGCCCAGACCCAGCCATGCTAGTCTCCAGGCCTCACCCAGTCAATGTTATCCAGCCAGCTGTCTCGGATTTGAGCATCCCGGTTCAGGAAATAGTTGCCGTCTGCATCAAAGTGGCCTTCCTCCATCTCTTCCTGCAAGTTGAAGGGTGTGATCCGCACACCTCCCTCACTGGGGAGCGTAGCTGCTTCCTGACCTGCACCAAGACAGACACAAGAATCCCATGCTAGGCGTGCAAGAGACAGGAGCCTACCGTCCTCCATGACCCCAGACGTCCCTATTTGTTCCCCCAGCAAAAAGTCAATTCTTGGTACAGCTCACCTTCCACATCCTCTGAGGCCAAGATGTCATATTTGCTGGACCCTTCATCCTCCTCCTCCTCCTCATCGCTGTCCAAAGAGTGTTTGCCTTTGAAGCGGCTCCCGGGACCCCCTACCCCAGCTACAGGGTCCACCAACTGTGGGCAGGAGACAGAAGTTAAGAAAGAAGCAAGTTACTGGCTATGACCCCAAATACTCTAGGATCTACACTCAAACTGAAAATCCTGCAAAGCCATATCTCAGAAATACGCGGAAAAGCTGGCCCTTTCCATCCTTTCTTTGTCTCTCCAGATCTCTCTTCTGGTTTCTAATTTTTTTTCTCCCCTCACTCCGCCGCAGAACAGAGGAGTCTGGCCCCCTCACCTTTTTCTTGGGGACACTGATTTCATCCTCGTCATCATCTCCCACGCCTTGGAAGGTCACTTTCCTCTTTGGCATGACTGGACAGAAGGGCTTTTCCCAAACTGAGCAGAGGGAAAGGGTGCAGATTAAGGGAATTGGGTGAGGAGGCAACTCCCCGCGAGGGGGCCCCCTGCACAACAGATCTTTGACTTGGTGGGTACTAGATCCACTTTGGGAAGGGAGGGAGTACAGAATCAGGAGCCTAAAGGGGAGCTGGCAGTCCAGAACCCCACCCGCCCCAGCCCCCGGGACTTGGCTTAGCATCTAAAAGAGCTGCTGGAGCGGGGACGCAAAAGCGGACTGGCGGAGGAGCTCCTACGGGCACCCCCACCCTTGAGAAGAGACGGGCTCCCCCACGTGACCACCTTCATTCCAGGCCCCAGCAGTGCTGGGCGGGACGTGCTCCGAGGGCAAACACCCGCTCCACCACCCCCAGCTTCCTCGGGGCCGGAGGAGCCCCGGCGGACCCAGGATCTAGCGCCCTGGCAGCCCCGCTCCTCCCTGCGCCGAACTCCCAACTCCGCGGGGTGACTCCCAACTGTCTTGGGCTGTATACAAATTAGAAAGGCGGCAGGGCCACGGGGACACCAGCAGTCCCGCCTGCACGCGCTCACCTAAGGATCCAGGAAAGGTGGGGGAATAAAGGGAGAGAGGTTTTCACCAAGGCTACATCCGGGCCACCCGCCCGCCACCACCCGGAAGAGAACTGCGGAAGGCGTCGGGGAAGGCCGGAAGTGGCTTCACTCGGGTTAGAGCAACAACTGAAGGAACGGGCGGAAGTACGCGCCGCGGGGGAAGAGACGCCCCCTCCCAGAAGTGACGCGAGCCGCGTGGGGAGACTATGGTGAGAAGAGGGGACGTTTGAACGCCTAGACCCTGATCGGACAAGGATGGCCGGAAGTGGTCTCGGTTTCCTCCTACAACTGTAGAGGCTCTGAGGAGATAGTGGAGCCCGCTTTACTGAAAGGGCCGCCCAGGTTCACGATGGAGGAGCAAAGTCCCAGCAGGGCCGGTGGGTTTCTGTCCTAGTTTTCTCTTTCCCGGGTTGAGTCTCCTTTTCTCCACGGCTGGCTCTGCGCCCTTCATCATCTCATTAGAAATCTTGCCTTCCTACTCTTGGCGTCCAGTTGTCCGCCCTTTGCTAGTCCGAGGTGTAGCCTTGCTCTTGTCCCAGAGGTTCTCCGAGAGCTCGGTTCTCCTGGAGGCTCCTGGGACACTTTCCGAACCCAGCTCCTTTTAGGACCCAGGGGAAGTCTAAAATCAGCCACCTCCTATCCCCTGGGTAAGTTCCTGGTTTCTGAGGTGGGAAGAGTAAAAAATAGGAGAGGTGGCAGTGGCACCTGTTCCCAGTACCGAGGCCTGAAGTCCCTTGTGCCCTCATCTCAGGTAGGCCTAGGAAAGGGCTGTAGTGGATATCCGCCCCCCACCCCAACCCCAAACAGGGCCCCAGCCCTACAGTCCTGCCCAGGTTTGGTAATTTGACCCAAGGGGCAGAAGTGAGGTTGGGAGGTCCCTCTTGAGGATACTCGAGAGTTTGAATCCCTCTAGACCAAGACCAAGACCAAGACTGGGCCCAGAAAGAGCCTACTGGAGCCAGAGGAGGGTAGTGCGGGGGTACCCCGGATAACCAAATGCACCACTCCTCCTTTCTCTGCTCTTAGGGTTTCTTCCCACAGTGGGCTACCATGAAACTGCACCAAAAGTCCGTGCTCCGTTTCTTCCGTGGGTACAGAACACAGGCTCCAGACCGGGAGGGCATCCTGCTAAAGAAGGGGGCCCGAAATACCAGCTATCAGCGCCGCTGGTTCATCCTGCGGGGAAATCTCCTCTTCTACCTGGAACACCAGGCTGACCACACACCCCTTGGCCTCATCCTGTTAGAGAACTGCCAGGTGGAGCCACGCCTTGGAGCCACAGAACCCTATGCCTTTACCATTCGGACTCCAGGGGGAGGTGGGCGGGCCTACAAGCTGGCTGCGGAAAACCGGGAGGAGCTGAGAGCCTGGCTGTGGGCGTTGGCCGGAGCCACCTGGACGCGGCTGGCTGTGCTGCTACGCCCCCTGGAGGCCCAGTACCGGGAGCTGTGTCAGGCAGCTGGCCAAGAACCTGGCTCACCCCCAGAGGACTGTGGCTCCCCAGCCACCCCCAGGACCCTCTTCAGCTTCCAGGAGTTGCACGAGCACTTTGGAAAGGAGATCCGTATGCTGCAGGCGGTCCATAGACAGTTCCAGGAGGCCAGTGACAACGGAGGCAGCAGATCCCGAGCAGGTGGAGGTGAAGCAGGAGCTCACGAACTGTTGATGAGCGGCAACTAATAGACTAAAGGCCCAAAGGTACCTGCCAAGACCAGTCAACAGCTTCAAGAGACACCCAGATCCTTGCTAACTCACCACTCCCTCCCTCCTTGTTCTTATTTTAACCCCATTCATCAAATAACAAGGCAGAAGACAGGCCCAGGTACAACAGCAGGTTCTTTTCCGGTTCCTCAAAGCGCCGCACAGGGTGGGGGCAGAGACATAAGAACATGTAAACATTGGGTTCCACCCCCTAGAGCTCAGGGGAAGACCCCTTACCCAGGAAGGGGCTGGAGGGTTGGGAGGGACAAAGTGAAAGGCAGGGGCCCTGGTCAGACAAAGCAGGGGAGGCCTGAGAATACAGAGGAAGGTGGGTGAAGAGGAAGGAGAGGAGGAGGGTGGTGGTGGGAGGTGGGAGACATTTCCTGTTCCAGTGCATGTCCCCTTAAATAAACTAGAGTGCAAGAACACTGGGGAGGGAGAACCAGGGAACAGAAGATGGAGTGAACACCCCCACCCTGGGCCAACCAGGTCCTCTGTACATAATTACAACACAGAGATGTCCAGAAGGAGAGCAAGAAGAGCCTGGGCCCCCAACCAGGAACTAGGCAGGACTGAAGGGGGTAAAGGAACCCAGCTTCACTTCATGGGTAAGGGGCGTGACTGGAGTGTAAGAATCTGAAAACTGCTGACTCCCACTGCCACAAATCACCCCTGTGGTGACCAAAGGCCAATCAGGAGGACGGCACCTGGGAAGGGACCCCAGTTGGGCCAAGTTGGAGGTGAGGTGTCCACTGGTCCCCCAGGGAAATGTAGCTGCCCCCCGTTCTCTGACTGTCCCGGCCATGTGGGGATCAGCGGCTGGCACAGAGACGGGAAATCAAGCCACTTTCCTCAGAAAGAGGGACAGCCTGCCAAGGGCAGGCTAGGAGCAACACCCCAGGCTAGGTCTGCTCTTGGCTGAGGGAAAAGAGGGGGCCATGCAGTCCAGCCCCAGGGCAGAGGTCAGAAGTATGCATCCTGCCGGGCCTCTGATGCTGAGGACCTGTCCCCGCTGTCCTGGGGGGCGGGCGGTCCATCTGCCTTTCGACGCAGCGAGAGCTTCCTGCCCTGGGCCTTCTTCTCCTGCTTCTGCCGCTCCTTCTCCTGTTTCTGCTGCTCCTTCTCCTGTTTCTGCCGCTCCTTCTCCTGCTTCTCCCGTTCTTTTTCCTGTTTCTGCCGCTCCTTCTCGCGTTCCTTTTCCTGTTTTTGTCGCTCCTTCTCCTGCCTCCGGGCCTCCTTGCCGCTGGGGGCCAGAGGGGCGCTGTTGCCAGTAGGCGAAGGAAGGGATGGATGCAGTCCCTCAGCGGTGACCACTGGCCCTGGGGCAGGCCCTGCGCTGGCCCTGCGGACGGGAGGGGGTGGGGAGGGGACCCCTCCACCTGCCCGGGAGCCCCGGCTTTTGAGGCCAGGGAGGCTGAGGAGGCTGGAGGAGGGACCCAGGGGGGGCAGCTGCCGCCGGCGCTCCTCATGGATGGCCCGGGAACCGTGTAGTCTCCGTGAGGGCCGATACTGCAGCTCACCCCGGGTTTCCAGCCACTTCTTGAGCTGGGCTGCATTCTCTCGCTCAATCAGTGCTTCTGTCACTTGGAGGTTGGTCACCTAGATGGAGAAGACATGGGTACCAGGGTGAAGTGGCGGGTGGGGATCTACTGAAGCAGGTGTGAGGTACGCTAAGGCCAGGACCTACCTCGTGCACCAGGAAGTCCTCCTGCATGCACTGCTGGGGCAAGTTCCGTAGCTGCTCCATGGTCTCATACATGCCTTGGCAGGAGCGCAACTTTTCCACCGAGCCCAGTGTGTGCCGCAGCAGCACGAGGGCCACCCGGAAAATGATCTTGACGCCTGCAGGCCCAAAGAGGAGAGGCCATGGGTGATTAGCCTGGGAGTCTCAGCCTGGCCCGTGCAGGGGGTACTCACAGCCCCCATCCCTGTGTACTGCTGACCCGACAGATGAGGAAATGGAGGCCTCAAGAAGGAGAAAATGAGCCGCCAGGGGTTTTAGGTTCCTGGGAGGTAAAGCAAGCTGTGGCTGGTGGCAGAGCCAGTAAGATCAAACCTCAGTTTCTCCAGCCCCAAGACGGATCTCAGTGAAGCAGCCTTCTGTCAGCAGACCCCACTCTGGCAGCCACCATGGGAACCCGTCCCCCTCCTGGCCTGCGTGGCTACAGAAGTACCTTCACAGAAGAACATATCCCAGACCCGGAGCACTGAAGCCCAGGGCAGGGTGCGGGCGAAGATGCACATGAACCACTCTGTCATGTAGAGCACAGGATCGATGCGCTGCCGTCGCAGGTGCCGATGCGCCAGTGGGGAGGCCCGACGCAACAGGGCAAAGAAGATCTCTCCGTCTAGCTGAATGGCCTCCTGGAGGTGGGATGAACCATGAGAAGAGGCCCCCTGGCTGTGGGCCCACTGGGGTAGGACTGGCGCTGGTAGTCAGATCCCATCCATGAGGTGGGATCCTCACCTCAGTGGGAGGGGCCCAGAACAGCCAGCCAGAAGGGCACAGGGTGAGGCAGGACCAGGCCTGCCCTGCAGTCTTAGGAACAAGTCATAGCCCCAGGTGCACCAGCCTCCAGACACTCACCAGCCCTGCACTGTAGTAACCGGGGAGGTACTTGTCGCAGATCTGCACCAGGCACCAGAAGGCTTGCTGAGAAGGACAAGAACAAGGAGGGAGGGATGGGGCCAGAGGAACGGGGCGGGCAGGGAGCTCCCCCATCACCCCTGCAGGCCCAGCCCTCCCCGACCAGGTCGGGCGTCTGCTGACCTCGGCAGGCATGTGCATGAGCAACACTGCAGCCACGGGGGCCTGGGCCTGGCAGTAGCCCTCGTCGGGCCGGTAGATCGTGTAGGCCTTCAGGATTCGATACAGGTCCTGCTGCCTGTGGATATGGGGAAACGGCGATCAGTTGGAAACTCCCTGCCCCCAAACCAACCCCCCCACCAACCCCACCCCAGACTCCCCCAGAGCTTGTGCAGGATCAACTCCAGAGCTTTACCACCGCACACCTGATCTAGCTGCCTTCCTGATCCCACCTCCCGAGCTTAAGCCAAAGTCTCAGATCATCATGGAGGCTTTCTCCCAGGCTCCAGCCTTCCACCCTGGCTGCACACCCACATGCTCCCTACCCATTCCCCACACAGGCTCTGCTCTCCATCTGCCACCATCCCTAAACCCTCAAGGTCACCTTCTCCAGGAAGCTCTCAACAACCGCAGCATCAGCCCTCTTCTGGCACTGTCTGCGCGCTTTTACCTCCCAGCAGGCGCTCTCCTAGGGCAGGGCCTGTCTTATCTGTCTGACTGGATTTCATCAGTTTCCCCCCAGGCCAGGGCCTTGGTTCTCGTGGAGGCCTGGGAAGCCAGCTGGGCCTCAGATTTTCCTCCTATCTCTGCATCCGGAAGAATACACTCTCTGCCCCAGATCTGTTCCTTTTGCTTGAGGGTGCTCCATGGCTGTATGAGGGAACTCCAACCCCTCAGCCCCCAACTAGAAAGCAGAGGGCCTGCCACCCCTACCCACAGCTGGTTGTCCCATCGTATAAACACTACATTCTGAATTTCACTCGTGTCTAGGCCTTCTCTCCACCTCCACAGTTACTGAGCAGCTCAGCCCTTCATCTCTTAACCAGGGAAATGTTCATAACTTCCCAGATCCTCTCCCTGCCTCCAGTCACACACTCCTGACCACAGCTTACAACAGTGTTTCTCAAAATGCAGTCACTGAAGTGTGACCTTCATTTGTGCTTTATCCGCACACCTCCCCACTTATTTTTTCTCTACTTTGTAATAACATCCATGAAATGACAGGTTTGATATACTAGTTATTTCACCTAATATGTATTAAATATTTAACTTCCACAAGCTCTCACGCTGCTTTCAGCCACCTGCCTGCTTCTGTGCCTCTGCCTCCTCCCGCTGCTATGAGTGAACTATTCGTGAATCTGACCAACCACAGCCTTTCCACTGGGTCCCATACCCTCTTGCCTACACAGGCCATCCTTCTAGCAACCTTCCCATCACTTGGGTAGCATCCATTTTTCTCTAACTACAGATGCTGGCAGCATACCAACATGTCATTTCCTCTAGCTTATAAAAAATAAAAAACGTCTCTCTACCCAACTTTCCCCTCTGAATATCACACCATTTCTTTCCTGCCTGTTCAGGCAAACCCACCTAGAGTACAGACTTGCTATCCTCAGTTTCTTTCCTCTCATCCTCCAGTCAGGCTTTAGTCCTTGCTCCATACAAAACCGCTTTTATCAAGGTCATCAATGACCTCCACATTGCTAAATCCAGAGGTCAGTTTACAGATTTGACTTGACTCGATCCATCAGCAGCACTTCAAAGAGCTGATCCTGAAACTTCTTCACTTTCCTTCCAGGAAACACTCTCCTGGTTTTCCTTCTAGCTTTTTCCAGTCTCCTTTACAGGTCCTTTCCCATCTTCCTATTCTTGAAATGTTGGCACTGTAGGCTCAGTCTCTGAACAGCTTCCTTTCATATCTATACTTCCTGCTTTGATGACCTCATCTAGTCCCATGGGTGAGATCTGGTCCCATCTAGAGGCTGACATCTCTTAACTTCCAGTTTATCTCCAGTTTAAATTTCTCCCAGACTTCTCTGATGGTCCAGTGGTTAACAGTTCACACTCCTACAGCAGGGGCACAGCTTTGATCCCTGGTTGGGGAACTAAGATTCTACATGCCGAATGGCATGACCAAAAAAGAAAAACCCTCTCCCTGGATGTTGTGTATATTGTATATCCAGCTTACCTGGCATCTCAACTGGATGTCCAGTGAGTATTTCAAACTTCACATTCACAAAATGAGTTCCTGATACACCTCTCAAGGTTATTTTTCCCCATCCACCCATATCAGTATATTCTAACTCCATTCATTTTAGTTTCTAAGACCAAGAACCTTAAGAGTCTTCCTAATCTACTCTCTGTCACACATACACCACTCCACATCTAATCCACTGGCAAATCCTTTTGGCTCTACCTTGAAAATATATTCAGAGTTCAACCCCTCCTCCCCACAGTTCCACTGCTACCACCCTGGTCTATCTACCACTGTCTCTGTCTGGGATTATGGAAACAGTCAACCTGCTCTCTGTTTCTGCCCTTGTCTCCAATCATCTATTCTCACCACAGCAGCCAGAACAATCCTAGGGTTTTGGGGGTTTTTTGGGATCTTAGTTCCCAACCAGGAATCCCAGGGATCAAACCAGTGCCCCCGGCAGTGGAAGCACGAAGTCTTAGCCACTGGACCACCTGGGAAGTCCCAGAATGATCCTTTTAAAACACAAGTCAAAAAATAAATAAATAAATAAAACAAGTCAGATCAGGTCATTTGTAACCCCATCTCCACTCACATTCTCTATTGGCCTTTCTTGCTTTAAAGTCTTCTATTTACCACCATTGTACATACAACATATTTTCATTCTTTGTTGTCTATCCCTACTAAAATATAATAAGCCTGGAGAGGGCATAAGTTTTTATCTTTCATTCACTGCTATCATCTGTAACTAAAACAATACCTGGAAGATAGCAGGTGCTTGATAAGTACTTGCTGAGAGGATGAACTTACTGTTAAAGTTTATCCACATGCTCCCACAAGGAGCTGAGAACCATCTAAAAACATCTGGCACACTACTAGGGAGCGATATATAGACTTCTCGAGGAAGTCTGGCAAACAGAACAAAAATCGAAGGGCCCTGGCACAGCATTTAAGGGCCCTTAACTGCTTTGCCAGCTTCAGCAGCTCTACCCAACGCCACTGCCCAGACAGAGCTTACATAACCCCCCAGCCAGGGAAACCCTGCCCCTCGCTCTGCTTCCATCTGTCCTTCAAAACCTCACTCACATGCAACCTCCCCAATGAGGCTCTGACGTGTCCCACCTCCCCCTCACCAATACCCCCATGCCACTCCCCCATCAACCCAAGTCAGTGTCTCCCTCCCTGGACCCATCCTTCAGTATGTCTTGACACTCAATTCATGAAAGACCACTCCTGCAGAATTCCTGGAAGGCAAGAACTGCTTTCAGCCCAGCCCTGCATCCACCCATCACGGACTCACAGTCAGGTTGCCTTACCCGTGCCCGCCTCGAGCAGCAAACATCTCATGAAAAGGGAACTGGCGGTGCAGGTCCTTCTCGATCACATCCAGCCACTTAGGGTCCCCAGGAGCCCGTTCCAGCTCCTGCAGTGGGACAGCTGAGATTACCTCAGACTCTGGGGGGACGGATGATGGCCCTCACACAGACCGTGTCACATGGCCCCACACCCTGGAGCTGTGCGCACCTCAAACTTGCCCGGGTTCTGCTCCAGGAGTTCCTTGCTATTGGACAGGTACTGCCAGGCCTTGGCTCTGAGGGAGGAGGGGATCCCCTTCCGGCAACGCAGCTTCACCTAAGGCAGGGTGGCCAGCAGGGGAACAGCCTCAGTGACTGCCACAGCCTCCAAGCCTTCCCCTGAAGCCCTCAGGCTCCCTGGGACACCCAACCTGGCCTTCTATCTTTTAGTTAGTCCTCCCCCAGGCCCAAGAACCACCTACCCCCAACATGGTCCAGAGAGCAGGTAAGATCAGGTTCCTGGGCTTCCCCAGAGCCGTGGGCCCACTCTGTCCTCCCCACCTCCACCACATCCACAGCCCTGCCCACCACAGCCTTCTCAAACCTTCTGGAAACGCCGTGACAGCCACTTATCCCAGTGACTGAACATCTCCAGCCATTTGAGCTCCCGCTGCCGAGCCACATCCACAGGAATGGAGCTCTCTCTGAGGATATGGGGAGTAGGAAAGAAGTCAGTAACAGCAGTATAAATCCTGATTGCTGGAGGAACTGAGGCAAGCCACCTCCCAATCGCCAATGAAGACCAGACCACAAACGCATTCTATGAGCTATCAACACATCAGGATGTCTGGTCACTCGGCCCTCCAAGGCCCTAATTCACCACTGAAAGGAATTCCCTTTGGACGGAATCTCTGAACAGAGATCACATTCTCCTGTTGGATATCTGTACAGAGGCTGTGTTCAAATCCCACTTCTGACACATAAAAGTTGGGGAGAGAGTACAGGATATGTATAAAGTATACTTTGTACTGGGGCTTCCCTGGTGGCTTAGATGGTAAAGAACCTGCCTGCAATGCAGAGGACATAGGTTTGATCTCTGGGTTGGGAAGATCCCCTGGAGAGGGGAATGGCTACCCACTCCAGTATTCTTGTCTGGAGAACTCCATGGACAAAGGAGCCTGGCGGGCTACAGTCCATGGGGTCGCAAAGAGTCAGACACAACTTAGCAGTTAACACTTTCACTTTCACTTCACATGTTTTACATTAGACCTTTGCCACTTACTCACTGTGTGGCCTTGGGCAAGTCACTCTCTAAGCCCCAATTTCCTCATTTGTAAGATGGAGAAAAAAACAGTATCACCTAGCACGGCCTCAGTGAGTAAACAGTAATTATTATCCACAAAATTAAATACAGAACAAATATCTGTCTCCTTATAAGCTACTGAGTTTCCTTCTACCAGACTCTTGAGATCCCTTGAACCATCTGCAATTTCCTCTACCTCCTCCTCCTTGGAATCACCCCAGATTACCAAGCAAATGAAGCTCTCCTTGCACTGCCTGCTCACTGTTCTAGCAAAGCTTCACACTCAAGATACCGCATCAGTCTTAAAACAGTTACTCGGAGAAGCCAGCACTAGGTGAGTGAAATGGAAGAAAACACATGTTCCCAGATAGACCTGAGCTCAAATCCCACTTGTCCCTTAGAAACTGGGGAGTCTTAGCAAGTAAGAATCAAGTCTCTTCCTTATCTGTTAAAAGGGATGCCACCGCCTACATCACCAAGTTACAAGAGGACTACTGAGAAACTGTATATAAAGGACTGTTAAATGAAAGGTTTAATGTTAGTTTCTTTTGTCCCAGAAGCTCCTTAAACTGAAAGGTGATTTCTCATTAATCTCTATCTTAAAAGTCAATTCCAAACTCTACTAAAGGCCAGGAGGAGTAAGATCCCTTTCCGGCCCTCGAAATGTCACAAGCTAACAGAGGGATGACGGCAATGCGATGAGGGAAACGCAATGACAAAGATGCACAGAAGAGGCAGCTAACTGAAGTAGGGGAGATAGAGATCAGGGAAGGTTTCCTGGAGGAAAGGACATCTGAGGGAAGCCATGAAGGACTGAGTAAAAGATGGCAGGAAAAGACCAGAAGGGCATTCCTGGCTGATGATACAGCCTGAGTATGAAGGGAGAAAGACTACAATCACTTCAACAGGACACAGCACACAGCACATGGTGAAAAGTGGTGGGAAAGAAGACCAGAGAGGCTGTCAGGGCTGAAAATAAGGAACCTGTGTCCAGGCTAAAGCTTAAATTTTATCCTATGGACAGTGGGAGCCACTAAAAGCTTGTAAGATAACGTGCCCCACGGTCAGCCTGACCTCAGAAGTAGATTCTGCCAGCGTGAAGATGGATTTTAGAGGGACAAAATCACAAAGCAGAGAGTTAGCACCCAGCATGGTGCCTGGTACACAAGAGGGGCTCACTAAAATCCAATTCAATCCAAGTTCTTTAGGGCAGGATAGCGCTGAGGAGAGCACCATAGGTCACGCGGATCCAAATTATTTGAATGGGGCAATTCACAGGATGGCTCTAATCCTGTTTCTTCATCTGTGAATTAGGTACAATGCCTCCGTCATGCATGGGAAAACACCAGCCTTCCCCACACAGGATCGTGAATGTTGATGCTCGAAGATATTCTGAAATTTTGTTGTTGTTGGATTATACACCCTGCATTCTTTAGAATACCCTCCTACAGGGCTTCCCCCAACACCAGGCAGGTCCCCCTGACCCCAACACACACAGCCATAACTAAATCCTCCTCATTCTTCACAATTCAGATCAGTCTGGCTGAATTCCCAGACTGGGCAAAAGATCCCTTCCCTAGGTGCTCACAAAACCCTGTGATGATCTCCAGGCTAAACCTAACATATTACGTCGAAACCAACGGTTTAAGTATTTGTCTCTCCCTCTAGATGATGAACACCTTGAAATGCCTATTTGATCCTCAGTACCCAGCACAGGGCCTGGCACTTGGGTTCTCTGGCGATGCTATACACTGAACTGACCAGCAGGTTAAAGGGGTACAGGACCAATGGGCAGCATCCAAAGAGAGGAAAGGAAGAAGTCAGAAGTAATTACACCCCCACCTTAGAAGTGACTCAGGCCCCTGGAGGGAACTAGGAAAGAGTAAGCCCGGCTGGGGAGATGAGGAAATGGGGAAGAGGCCTCCCCCACCCCCTTTCCTTCAGTGAAAACACAAGCCTGCTCTTCTGTTTCACAGAGACGCCCTGCCTTTGGGTCTCTCCTCCATCAGACTTCCCCAACTCATCACCCCATGAGACCTAGGGCTACGAGGGAGAGGTGCTTGCATCCCTCCAGACTTTCCCCCTAAGGGACCAACGATCTCTATCAGAACCCCTGTCTGGTCAAACCACCAGACTATCCGGCCTATAGCTGGAGATTCCCATCAAGGAGCTGGGACAACTGGAGGTATCATCTCATTCTACCTTTCACTTCACAGAGGAGGAAAGTGAGGCCCTAACTCCAATGGGGAAGGCACTCACTCAAGGGCACGCAACTCACCACCAAAGGCAAGGCTTAGACTCAAACCGAGAACTCCTAACACCTGGCCTGAAACCTTAACAGGCCGGTGCCATAGAAAACCTCAGGATGCTCTAGGCAGGATCCTTAAGCATCTCACTCCCACTGGTCACTCCCCGGATCCTCAGAGGAGGATGCGCTGAAAGAGTGTAGGCAAGGTGTATCCTTTCCTCCCCATCCCGCCCCACCTCTGCTTCCCTAAAACAGGCCCAATGGGTACTCACAGGCTGCCTGAATACTGGCTGCCCCCAAGGAAGCCGTACTTGTCCGTCTTGCGCAGGGCCAGCCCGTTTATCTCAGAGTCTGAGCCCATGGAGCTCACATCATCCGCCAAGGACTCCAGGGTCCCAGACATGAGGCTCACGGAGTCCAAGTAGCTCAGGGTGTCTGGGGCCTGCCCTCGAGGCCCAGAGATGCCAGGTCCCAGGCTGGACATGGAGCCTAGGTCCTGAGAGTTTTCAGTGGGCTCCGGAGCTGGGGTCACCGTCACGACAGCTACCTGGGCCTCACATGTCCCTGAAGAGCCTATACCAGGCCCTGAAGGGTTCTCGGGAGCCTGTCCAGATGATGCTGATGTTGCTGCCGCAGCTCCATGTCCACTTGTCACCTGTCCTGCTGTCACAGCTGCAACCCGTGCAGTCACACCTGAGGCCACTGTGGTTCCCGGCTTCGGGGCGAGCGGGGGTTTGGCTGTCAGGGTCCCAGGAGCCGTTCTTGAAGGGGTCCTGGTGAGGGTCCCGGGTCCAGGATCGGGTGAGGTTATAGCCTCCTCTGTCTTCGGAGGGTCTGCCCCTGAGGCCTGAGCCACGGACATCTCGGCTCCAGCCACAGCCTCGGGCACCAAGGGCTCCGGGCTGGAGACCTGCGCCCTGGGGGCATCGGGTGAGGCCTCCAGAGTTTGTCCCACCTCCGTGCTGCCCGTGACCGTCGGGCCGGGGGCCGAGTCTGAGGTCTGGGTCGGACCCGGCACCCATGCGGGCCGCGCCTCCCCGGGGGCCAACAGGGTCACCGGGGCCGAAGTGGCCGTGGTCACTGGCGGCCCCGGAGCCACCACCAGGACGGGCCCGGCCCGAGAGCCGCGGGGCGGCGGCGAAGGGGCCGCGGGGGCGCCATGACGGCGCGGCGGGGCCACCAGGGGCGCCGGGCCCGTCTCCATGTCCGCGGGCCGCCCCTCACATCCCCCCGCAGCGGCGGCCGCAAAAGGCGCCGCCCCTCAGGCCGCTCCGCGCCGCCCGCCGAGGAAGGGGAGAAGGCGAAGGGCGCGGCCCGGCGCGCGCCGGGGTCGAGGGCGGCGCGCGGGCGGCTGCCCAGCGCGCGGAGCCGGGAAAAGGGTCCCGGGGCGCCAGGCCTCCGGGGTCTCGCTCGCGCCCTCTACCTCCCTCTCGCTCTCTCGCCGCCGCCCCCTCCCTCCCGCTTCGGGCGAGCGGCCGACCTCGCGCCTGCGCACACGCCCCGGTGCCGGCCCAGCGGCCTGCGTCTCGGCGCTTTACGCCTGCGCGCGGGCAGTCCCATCGCGCTCCTTTTTTCTCCCGCCTCGTCAGAGGTCTTGGACGAATAATAGGAGAGAGGGAACTGGGTTTCTGCCAATCGTTGGGAGGGTGGGTGGGGCTGGAGGTGGGAAGGGGGTGGGTAATTTGGGAAGAGGAAACAGAGAAGGCGGAGGGTTATAAAACCAATGAGAGGGCGAGTGAAACCTAGCGGAGGTGGGACGAAGGGATTAACTAATAGAAAAGCGGGAAGCCGAACCTCCTGGCCAATAAGAATGACTGAAGAGTGACAGACCGTGGAAGGAGGCGGGTGCTGTGCGAGAAGAGGCGGGCCTATCTAAAAAAGAATGGTTAAAGGGAGCCAATGAAAAGGGAAGTGGGCGGAGGTTAGGTTGACAGACAGTGACAGCTATTTGGGCGGTGACAGACAGCATCCGCAGTCAATAGCAGCTGAGAGATTCTTTGGGTCTTCCAAGAAGGTCCGGAAGGAATGACAGCTGCGAGGGGCGGGCCAAATTTGCGATTAATTTGCCTCCTCAGCCAATGAATGCATCCTCTCACTTTAGTGATAAGGGAGGAAGAGAGACAGCTGTCTCAGCCAATGGCAGCATTCAAAGGAAAGGGGTGCTACCAGCAGGCGGTGCCAAGCCAAGGATGTCGGTGACAACCGGAGACAAGCGCGGGAGGGAGTGACAGTTGGGGACAGCGCGGAGAGGGGCGGGGTTCGGGGGCATTGGTGAAAGCCTTAGCCAATAAGCGCCACGCTGCCCTGCCTGAGTCCTCTCTTGGGCCAGTTCTCCATTCAGCTCCCAAACTCACCACTTGATTAGGTGCTCTTTGATCAAGTACTCTTGCCCTTCACTCTGTCTCTCATTCTTATCCCAGTCCGCTACAAACCCCAGGTGACTATAACAAGAACCCCCAAATCCTGTAACTCGTCCTTCTGGATCCACCGTTTCCTGCGGATATCCCAACCCCTAAGTCCCTGTCCTCAGATCCATCTATCTGAGCTCCTCCCAGAATCCAGGCTCCAGTTCCTCAGAACTCATCCTCCGAGTGCCCCCTCCATTCTAGTGGGAAGCCCAAACCCCAAATCATGGATTCCCACTACCATGAACTCCGGTATCTCTGAGGTTCTTATTCTTTGGGGGATGCAGAACAAACCTTCGGAACTCCTCTCTCCTCATTGACACACTGTTCTGTGCTCCTTCTCTGCTAGGAAACCAGACCCCAATCTCATAATCCCCCTACTCCCCGCCTCAACCCACCCCACCCCAGCTACCCTAGACCACAAACACAAAGCCCAGACTTTACCAGCCCCTCCTCTCTCTGGGCTCCATCTCCCTGAGGCCCAGGATTCAGGATTCAGCCCCAGAAGGGCTCCAATTTCTGTGCAAAGTCCACCATCCTGAAATTTCAGTCAGGCCTAGCTAGCTCCCAGCTTCCCAGTTGCTTGGTCTCTGAGTTCTCTGAGGCTCCTTTTCCCAGCTCAGACTCAGATCCCGTGAACTCCAGTGCCTGAGATCTGCCGCTCTTGATCTCCTTCTCTTCAAACTCCCCGCTTTCCACTAGGCCCAAGCTTTCTAAGCACTTCCTCCATTCCCTTCTATTGAGTTCTCCTCCCCTCCCACAACCCAGTAAGAAGTGGGCTCTTCCCTGCACCTGGACCCCCATGGTAACCTTATAAGGTCAGTCAGCTGTCGACTGAGGCAGGGAGGGGCCAGTGCAGGAGGCCAAGGGCAGCTGCTAAGTTTAGGGTGGCTCCTTCTCCCTTCTTAGAGACAACAGGTGGCTCGACCTCAGTGCCCAGAAAAGAAACTGTCTTAGAGGCATTGGCATGAGTCTGGAGGAGGGAGCGGGGAGGAGGCAACTTCTTCAGGACATCAGGTCCCAAAGGGAGCAGGAGGAGGAGGAGACATGGGTGTCCTTGCCAACCTTGAACCTCCTGGGCTTCCTCAGCCACTATTTCCCCAGACCTCCACTGTATGGAATGGACTGAGGCACTGAGGCCCAGAGGGTTGGGAGAGGGAACCTCAAAATCACACAGTCAACCAAGCTGGTTCTTGCCCAGATTGGAGAGAGAAGCCATTGGCCATCCAGCCACCAAGGTGGAGGTGACTAATTAGCTTCTCTATTGGTGTCTTTGACTCCCCTCCTCTTGAGTTCCAACTTTACATCCATATCCAAAAAAGTGATTATAGACTCACACTAGACCATGTCCTTCTCCTGTTTCAAAGCTTTTCAAGGCTCCCAAGGTCTCAACCTTCAGTCTGGCATTGAAGACCCTCCAATCTCTGGTGTCCAGCCTCTTGTATCCTCTGCTCAAGACCCATCCCAATTCTGGTGAGCTGAACACTTCTGATCTTTGATTTTTCCAGGCCTTTGCCCATCCTTGCCCTCCACTTAGCATGTCTGTTCCTCCACTTCCACCTGACGCTTCTAGCGGCCTTCATAAGGTCATTTCAGTACTCCTACACAGGCCCACTATGCCCTCTACATCTATATTCCAACTAGTGTGTCATTTTCTGCATTTACCCTCTCTCCTCAGCTAGACTGTAAGTTCTACCAAGGCAGGGCCTGAATATTAATCGTAATGATTGTAAGAATTCTCTGGATGTCCAGTGGTTAGGACTCTAGGCTTTCACTGCCGAGGGCCCAGGTTCAATCCCTAGTCAGGGAACTAAGATCCCAGAAGTTGTGCAGTGCTACCAAAAAAAAAAAAATTATAATGATCATACCTCACTAATTTTTTCCCAATAGTGTTCACATCCATAAGTTCTTTGGCCTGGGAATTATCTTCCCATTTTACAGAGGGGGAAACCAGGACGCACAAAGCCCAATGTCACAGAGCAGGCTCTCTGCTCCAGGCTGTCTAGTCTCTTCATACTTAGTGATTCCATGCCCCATATCTTCCCTCACAAACTCCTCCCTTTCCTTGAAGGGGATATAGAAGACTTCCTGATCCTTCAGCTTCCCCAGATAGCTCTCTCCCACTTTTAACCTCTGTCACTACCCCAACACATACATACTCTTGACTGTGAACTCCACAATGGAGAGACTGTGTTTGTCCAAGTGCACCCATGTGGTGGGGGGAGGGACAGCAAGGGGTGTCTTTGGTCAGCCTTCAGCCTCCCTTCTCCAACGCCTCCATGTTTGATCAGACCCAGATCCAGGAGTTCAAAGAGGTAAATATGGGGAGAAGGGAGACTGAAGTATGGTCCAGTGCCTGGTACACTATTGATGCTTAATAAATTTACTGGGTTTAAACCTTTCAGGGATACAGGAGCCTGGTTCCTCTCTCTCCTAGTCCGGTGTCTCAGCCTGGGCCCCTCTGAACTCTGGCACATTCCAGCCTCCTTTGGGGAGAAAGAACATCCCTTCCTGCCCAGGTCCTAGTGAGACATGCAGCCCAAGACACCCTCCCTCCTCTCTCCCTCCCTAGGCTCCAGCTGCTGCTGGCCCTCCAAGAAAGGAGAGGCCCTGAGCTGGGCTATTTTGGTATCTGGGGTGGGCACCCACAGGGCTAAGGTTACAGTGGTGTGTTAAGGGCTCCCTGGGGCAGGACTATATAACTCCAGAGGGAGTGCTCCAGACGGACTCTCTGCTCCTTTCCAGCCAGAGCCACTGCCTTGCCCCCGGGAGACCTAAGACATGGTGAGTGAGAATCCCCCAGCCCAAGCTCAGATCTCTCAGACCTCAGGGCAGCCTCACCCCTTGAAAGAAAGGAGCTGATTCCAAGTCTGGCAAGAGGAAAAAAGATGAATCTTCCCTTTCTTGGTATCGTTAATGGGGAATATATAGAATGATACCCTAAAGGACACAACCAAGGATAATCTGCCCAGACACTCCACTCAAAGGAGCCCAGTCCCTCTCAAAGCACACTCCTCCACCTTTCTAAATCCCTTGGAACCAGCCAGGCCAGGATTCCCACTCCCATTTTATAAATGAGAAGGTAGAGGTTCAGACAAGGTGAATGAGTGGATCAGGGACACACAGCAAGTCTAGGACTCAGAGGAGCCAGGCTCAGGGCACTGAGAAGGCAAGAAACGTTTCACTTGTTGGGTAGGGTGGAAGGATGGGCACTTGAGGGCTTCAGATAGAAATTTGACGATCCAACTGAAACAAGTCCCCTCAGCAAACAGTCATAAGGAAGGGGAAGCCTAGAGTCAGAAGAGTTGCTTTAGAAGAATGAACTCTAAGAGTTCATTGCCTCCAGAGGAGTAAGGATGGGTTCACGAACCCCTCTGCCCAACCCTCATCCTTCAGGCACCCAAGAAGGCCAAGAGAAGGGCAGTGGCAGAGGGCGGAAGCTCCAATGTCTTCTCCATGTTTGATCAGACCCAAATCCAGGAGTTCAAGGAGGTAAGTGTGGGGAGAAGGGAGACTGAAGGCTGACCAAAGGCACCCCTTGCTGCCCCCCCCCCTGGAATGTGCACCTGTTTGGGGGAAGGAGAAGGGCTTAGATTCCTTACTCCCCTCCCTGCTTGGAGTGTAAGAGGACCTCTGGCTGGCGACCAGAATCTCAGAATCTGATCTGCCTGGAGTAAGGATGCTGAAACTCGGCCACAGGAGACATAATCTCTCCTTGCCTCTGCTCTCCACAGGCCTTCACAGTAATTGACCAGAACCGGGATGGCATTATTGACAAGGAAGACCTGCGGGACACTTTTGCAGCCATGGGTGAGCTGCCTCCTCAACCTGTAAAGACTCAGGGCTGCAGAGTCCTGGGCGTTCAGCAGCTGTGGGTCCCAGTCCTGCCAGGTCACCTTGGGACTCAGTCTATCCAGGATAAAAAATGGATGGGATAAAAAAAAGTGGATGGGATGATCTGAATTTACAGGAAGCATTATTCTCTGGCCGCAAGACCCCACTCCAGCCCCTGCTTCCCCAACCCTGTTCTAGGGCGTCTCAATGTGAAGAATGAGGAGCTGGACGCCATGATGAAGGAAGCCAGTGGGCCCATCAACTTCACTGTCTTCCTGAACATGTTTGGGGAGAAGCTCAAAGGTGAAGTATGACGTGTCCTTGGTCCAACCCCTCAGCTGCCTCTCCTCAGAACTTTCAGGGACTGACCCTTTAGCAACCCTTCAGCCACATGTGCCCTCTGACCCCCCACCACCAGGTGCGGACCCTGAGGATGTGATCACTGGAGCCTTCAAGGTCTTAGACCCTGAGGGGAAAGGCACCATCAAGAAGCAATTGTAAGTGACATACTCCAGCTGCTCCCACACAGAAAGCCTCTTTCAATTCCCACCAAGAGTTAGGCACTGCCAGGGATAAGGCTGGCTCAGACAGTAAAGAATCTGCCTGAAATGCAGGAGACGGGTTTGATCCCTGGGTTGAGAAGAACTCCTGGAGGAGGGCATAGTACCCATTCCAGTATTCTTGCCTAGAGAATCCCTTGAGAAGCTCTTGAGAGGAGCCTGGCAGGCTCCAGTCCATGGGGTCGCAGAGTCGGACGTGACTGACCGACTAAGCACCGCATAGAACAGGGATAAGGGAAAAATAAGGACTGTGGAAATGGGCGATGGAACACAGGAAGAAGGGCAAAAGGGGAGGCTAGAGTGTTTGGGAGACCAATGAGGAATCCAGAATGACCCCGGTTTTCAAGACGAGACTGGGAATGGCAAGGGGGATGAGATGGGAGGACGTGGAAAGGAATCACGAAGTCCAATCTCAAACCTCCCGTATATCACCTCTCTCCAGCCTGGAGGAGCTGCTGACCACGCAGTGTGACCGCTTCTCCCAGGAAGAGGTGAGTGGAGGAGGGGTCTAGGAGAAGCGGAGGGATGGGAGAAGGGGAACGTAAGAAACCAGTTGGCGATACCCGGCCTGGTTTCCGCAGATGAAGAACATGTGGGCTGCCTTCCCCCCCGACGTGGGCGGCAACGTAGACTACAAGAACATCTGCTACGTCATCACGCATGGCGACGCCAAGGACCAGGAGTAGAGCGGACCCTTTTCGGCCTCTACTAGCCAACACCTTCCTGCCAGTCCGACCTCCCCACCCAGACTCCTAATAAATCGAAAGGGTCTCGTTTCTTATCCTCGGCGCCTTCAGTGCGTTTATGCGAGTGGGACTCAGGTGGGAGGCTGGGCGGAAACACCGGCTGGCACGAAACGAGTGCCCAGCAAATGAATGAATAAATAGTGGCCCGGAGGCCTGGGTGGAGCGGCTCCGCCCGCTACTTCCGCCACTTATTCCCGCTGGGAAAGAGAAGATTTGCATGGCCTCAGAGAAACTCAGTTTTTATTGAAGTCACGATTGGGAGAAGTGGGGAGGGGATGGAGGTGTTCAGGGTTGGGAGAGGAGGTCGCGCTCCCGAAGTGAGCTGGGGCGGAGCCAAAGGCGGGGCTACAAATTCCAGGATTGGGAGATCCTGAAAGCCCGCCCCTTAGAAGGGCGGGCCTTACAGCCTGGGGCTCCGGGATTAGGCGCCTGGCAGCCTGAGGCTCAGGGATTGGACAAGAGACGAACCGAAGGCAGAGGCGAGGTAAAGAAAACCCCGATGGGGGCCTCAGAGAGCGTCCGACTGCTCGCCTTGAGCCTGGCTCAGCTGCATCTGGGCCTGCATCTTCTCCAACATCTCTTGCATGCGGCGCAGCTGTGTGGGGCAAGATTATAGGCATTGAGTCCGGGCGAGGCCAGAGAGGGACTCCGAAGAGGACTTGGGGGTCTTGGTCTGGGGGAAAGCTCACCTCTTCGTCTTTCTCGCGGATCAACTTCTCCGTATCGGCCAGAGGCAGCATGGGCAGCGGGATCTCTGTAGCGCTCTGGCGGGAAAGCTTACTAAGGGGATGGGAGAGAAGGAAAGGAATCAGAGGCGAGGGCCTTGGTTGAGTCACCGCCGCGAGACAGGATCTGGAGTTCGTTTGGAGTTTAGGAGGCGAGGCCGTATCCTTAGGTTAGGGCTGTAAGCAAAGGGGATGGGAAAAGAAGGGCTCTGGGAGAGAAGGTGAAGGTCGAGGTCTCGGAGAGCGAGGGCGGGGCCTTGGAAGCACCTAACTGCCCGCGCTGGCTCTCACCTACGGCTGGCTCGATCCCGCGCCCCAGGCCGGGCCAGGCTCTGTAGGCAGCGGGCCCGGTAGCCCTCGTAGAGCAGGTCGTGTGTCACCTCCTTCAGGTCCTGCAAGTGTGTCTGCACGAGCATCCGTCGCAGGTTCAGGAAATCGCAGTGATGTGGGTTCTCCACTGGGGGGCGGACCCGCGAGAGTCAGGGAACTTGGATCGGGTCGGCTGCCCAAAGACCCCTCTTTGGGCTCCTGGGACCCCTGGGACCAGAAGTTTCCCCAACTTCACATGTTGGGTACGGTTGGCTGGGAGGAGGCCTGGGCTCCCTGCTGGCCTCAGAGCTCGTACCCGCCCTTACTCACCCTCTACAGTGCCCCAGGAGTAGTGGCGTCCCCTCACCGGTCGGGGTCCGCCGTCCCGCACTACTTCGCAGGAACCGACGACCGCAAAAGGGATACTTTCCTAGAGGGGAGGAGTCAGCGATCTCCATCCTCTCGCCGCCCGGTGGACAGAAACCTTTCTCAGCTCCCACCTCCACATCCGCCTCCCCTGGCTTCTCAGTCCCGTCCTGCTTTGCCTCTGTACCTTCATCTCTGCATCCTGCCTCTTGAAGTCTTCATCCTCATCAGAGTCACATTCGGGGAACTGGTAGATATTGATCTCTTCCTCCTTCAACTGTTCCCGGATCTTGGAGGAGACAGATGCAGACAGAAACACAAAGGCTGTGAGCCACAAAGACATTGCCTGACCAGAGACAGTGAGATCTAGATACAGACACGGGATGAAAGAGACAGAGAGGAAGGCGTGAAAAACATAGATGGTGAGAGATGGGCATCCAGGAAGACTGAAAACAAAATCTCAGACGATGAGAGACAGAGACATAGATGATGAAAAACTGAGACCTTACCCTAAGAGGAAAGACTGATGTTTGGGAAGTTTTGAAGATGAGCAGACACCAAAAGAACAGGGGAGAGAGACATTAAGTGGAAACAGTGGGAGAGGGCACTGAAGAAGTGGGGAGATGGGGGCATGGTCAGCATCCTGGGGCCAGATGGAGAACATGGGTCGTTATGTCCACACTCCTGCCCTCAGACAGATCTTAGCCAAGCATCCAGTGCAGGGATTTTATTCTGAGCCTCCAGAGATGTGGCTTCCTGAGGCAGCTTATGACCCACCTTTCTCAAAAACTTTCTTCCAGTCTAGCCTGACATGTCACACTCTGAAAAGGCTACTCCAAGACTAAAGAAGTCAAAGCTGAGTTCAGCTTTTGTCTTGACTTTTGGCTTCATGTGCAGACCAAAGGTCAGAGGCCACCACACATACCTTCTGTTTGAGGGCCTGTGTTTCCTTCGGCATCAGGGCATCTGCTTTGCCAATGACTGGGATGATGTTGACCTTCTCATGCACCGCCCGGAGAAAGGCCACATCTAGGGGACGGAGCCTGCACCCAGAAATTGGTCAGGGCTCAGTTTCAGGGTACAGAGACCCGCCCCCCCCACCGCCGGCCCTCCCCAAATGTCCCAACCCCCTAGGGTGTCCCACAGACCCCCGGCCAAAGGGTGAGATGAAGTAGAGGCAGCAATGGACGCGGGAATCCTGGATGTTCTTCCTGTTCAGGCCACTCTCATCCCGAAGATACTGCTCAAACTGCTCCTCGATGAAGCGCACCACAGGCAGCCAGCTGGGGGTGTGGGGAGAGCGCTGGCAGTCAGAGATCCAGACCGCAGGGGAGGGAAGGGGGCAAGGCTAGCCGGGACTGTGGGGGTGAGAAGCAGGGTCTTTAGCTCCAACCAAAGATGTCAGAAGAAACTGGCAGGCGAGATGTTGGGAAGCACAAGGCGTTTTGGGCCCCAAGATCACCGGAAACAGCTCCCGCTTTTGCAGGGGCGTGGGTAGGGCAGGGCAGACCAGCCCTGAATCCGACCCCTTGGTCTCCACAGAGTAGCCACATTGGGAAGCTGAGCCCTGGGCTCTCCCCCATTCCTCACCAGTCTGAACAGTCCACTGAGTCCCCAAAGCCAGGTGTGTCCACCACAGTCAGCTTCACCTTAATACCCCCCTCCTCGATCTCCACTCCCCGGCGCTCGATGGTCAGCGTTTGCGTCAAGCGAGCTATGAGGATGGGGAGAGGTCAGGGAGCTGGCGAGGGGTCTGAAACAGGACTAATTTCCTTTCTCAGACTCACAGTTGCCCCCCACCCATTTTTCAGGGGAGGAGACTGAGTCTCGGAGAAAAGCAGTGAGCTGCCTGAGTTCCCCAGAATGTCATGGGAGACCCAGAAGGAAAGGAAGGGTATGCAGTCTGGGGACATGAAAGGAGAGGGGTCAGAGGGCCTGGGCAGTGTGGTGGGGAGAGGGGCGTCTTACCACTGGCTTCTGGTATTTGCCGATCCTCATAGAGGTTGGTGAGAAATAGGCTGTTGATGAGGGTTGATTTTCCCAGGCCTGACTCCCCTGTGGATAGGTCAAGCCCAGCTGGTCAGGTGAGGGGACAGCCAAGGTCTCTTGAGGATCCCCTACCAGGCCCCTCTCCAAAACCCTCAGACCTGCCACCATGAGTGTGAAGTCAAACCCCTTCTTGACAGACTTGCGATGCAGCTGGTTGGGGAGGGCGGCAAACCCCACATACTCCTTGTCCTGTTGGTGAGGGTGGACGATATGAGGCTGCTGGGGGCGGCAGGCAGGGTCCCCCAGTATGACCTGATCTCAGAGGCTAGGAGAAGTCAGCCGACTGTGGGTTGACCTGGGCCGGGCTACCCTAAGGGCTGGGGATGGAGAGATGCCTGGATTCCTGGGCGTAAGGACTCACCATGGCCCCGATAGCTGTTGCTGCACCTGATGGCTCTCCCCACTTCCTCTGGTGGGGCAGGAAGTTGAGGGCGGCAAACAAGGGGGCGGGCACTATAGGAGCTGAGATGCTCCAACTGGCCCAAAGAAGTGGGGAAAACCAAGATCGAGAACAGCTGGTTCTTGATTCCTGGGTTCCTTTGCCCATCACCCCGATAGGAAGCCTCAGTCCCTCTGTTCTCTGTACACCTTTATTCCAAGCCCCGCTGTGGCTCCATCACCCTGATGGAGGGTTTAAGCAGAGAGGAAGGAAGTGGGTTGGTCTCTCTAGCAAGTGAGGTGAAGACTTGGATAAAGATAGTTTAAAAAAGTTTCAGCCTGGTGCTCTGTGATGACCTCAAGGGGTGGGATGGGGGTGGGGTAGGAAGAAGGCTCAAAAGAGAGGGGATATATACATACTTATGACTGATTCATGCTGTGGTATGGCAGAAACCAACACACTATTGTAAAACAATTATCTTCCAATTAAAAATAATAAAATTTTAAACAATTTCCAAGGGTCTGAGTAGACCAAAAGCAATAAATGAGATTGAGGGTGTGAGGGACCATCAATTTTCCTCCCCAGCTCATGCACTGGATTCTTAAAAAAAGACTTCAGGTCTTTACACTACTGCCAGAGAGCCTGCCTTCAGAATCCTAGCCAAGGCACTCTGCTCAAAACCCTTCACGGACTTCCCAGTGATCTTAGAATCAAGTCTGAGAGTCCTGGCCAAAGCCTCCTGCATCTGACCTCATCACCTCCTCTTTGATTCGCCCTCGGCTCTGTCTACAATTTTGTTTATTTTATTTTTGCCTGTGCTGGGTCTTCATTGCTGCAAGGACTTTTCTCTAGTTTCACTGAGCAAGGACTTCTCTCTAGTTGGGATATAGAGGCTTCTCATTGTTGCAAAGCATAGGCTCTAGGTGCAACGGCTTCAGTAGTTGCAGCTCCTGGGCTCTAGAGCAGTCTCAGTAATGGTGCACAGACTTAGTTATGTGGGATCTTAGCATGTGGGATCTTCCCAGATCAGGGATGGAACCCATGTCTCCTGCATTGACAGGTGGATTCTTTACCACTGAGTCACCAGGATACCACCCTTGGCTCTGTCTATA